AAGACCGGACAGGTACAGGTAGTTGTTCCTGTAGAAGACAGTGGTAAATATTCATGAGCTGACTAGGACAATGGTGTAGTCTGTGATTTATACAGGAGCCTCAGGGCAGGAGGGGAAACCTTGGAGATGTTGTGTTTGACAAATGTCTCATGTTTGTCAACCTTTGGATACTATCTATGGTCAGCTGAAGGTTACAGTTGTAATTACTGTCAAACCTGCCTCTATGAATCAACCATCTGGCCATAATGAGTGCTTTTTCTAGGTCCCGATTTTATTTCCCATAGATGTAAGCATTAAGGGACTTGCTCTAGCCGACCGCTTGTCTAATGCAACTGCGACCAGCATGGATTGGGAGTGCAAATGGCTCAGTACCTGCCCATGACAACCGCATGTGTGTGGTGACATTGATTGTTTGTGAACAATAGAAAAAAATCATAGGTAGGACGTGTGGATGAACCGTACCAATAACAGTTATCTTTTCTTTTAAAAAATACAACCGTTACAGTGTTACATGAAGGCTGAATTAACATAATTTGACACCCAGTTGTGATGTTGTGCCTGTACAGATTAGGCAAATCACCTTCTTACAGCCATACAAAGGACAGGATTAATGAATGTGCTAATCCCTCTACAACAGGATTAACATATACATGGCTATTGTTAATCCTGGATTGGACCACTTGATATGCTGGTGACAATGTGTGAGAACCATCAGGATCTTTTGTCTGGCTTCTTGTTGTCTACTTATCTGTTTATCTTGTCACCTTATGACGTTGTAAGGTTAGATTTGTCTCAGTTTGTTAAACTTTGTTTATTTTATTTGTTTGTAAACAGAATGGCTTCTGTTTAGAGTCAATTTAGATCTTGTCATTACTTTTTTGTATTAAAAATCAGATGCTGATAGAATTGAAATCTACCAAAACATAATTTGCACATTTTTCTGTATCTGTATAGCCAGCATAAGAGCCCTTTGGCGTAACACACCAAATTTTTATATCCCACTACTTGCATAAAAGAGCTGAAACTCATCTATATCTTAAATTTAAAAAAAATGTTTTAGATAACTCCAACTTTATTTCTATTAATGTTTGCAATTTTTAAAAATCAAAGAACTAATGAATCAAACTGTCTTTCCCCTTGGCTTGACCAGAATTTTACAAAACAAATTTAGGGACAATATTTTGAGTTATCCAGCCAGGATATTCAAACATTTACAGCGACTATCGGACAGAGATTGTTGCTACTATTTACACAGCGATAGGTAACCCAAACAGCGATAACTGCAGAAGTTACAATTGGCTCCAAAATATTGATAAAATCATCAAATATTGATCATAGCTTCACAAGTTTATACCGTCTTCAAACATTGGTGATAGTTCAGCAATCTACAGTGTTTTGATAGGAAAAACAAATCCCAAAGGTTACTCTGGACTATTACCTTTGGGCTAGCCTGATGAAAAGTTTGAATAGGTAACATCAAGGAGGTTATAACCTCCTTGGGAACACAAATGATTTTTCTCTCTTTTTGTAAAATTTAGGGGGCTGGGTTTTGCTACTAACTGAAAAATAGGATTTATTAATTATTGCAGCTTCTCTCATCACCCATTGGTCACTAACTAATGTATAAATGCAAGTCCCATCTCCCATATGGTCTACCCTATTAATGCACTAATTACAGACTGGTCATAGGCCATGGCCGTCACACTCATTTTAATCTTGTTAAAAACAATTTTGACATCCTGATTCATCCAAATTCCTCTCCCCATTTTATTCTGAAAACCCCTTGCCCCACCAGACCCTCCCACTCACTATGAAATTTTGAACAGGAATTGCCCCCCAGACCATTCTACTTTGATAACACATGAAGGATGGCAGAAGTCAGTACAGCACAGCCTGTTTGCATCGATCCAGACAGCAATCTTATTCCCATGTAATGGGCAACCAATTCCTATGAATGGTGCGTGGGATATTACGTCCAATCACTATTCATCATGCCATGGATTTGTCAGATTTGTTTTCTCATCCCTCTCGACTATTAGATCAACGACAGAATGATGCAATTTAAGCTGATCTGCAG